TTTACTGCTGAACTGAAGAACTTCACCAAAGGCACCTGGTGCAGTTTCCACCAGGAATTCCATTTCTGAGCTGTCATGGAGTAACCCCAAGTCTCTTACAGGGTGCCTCCTCCTCCTCCTCTTCATTTCCGTTCTAGTTTCCTGTGGCCAAGTTTAAGTGTAGTATATTCAGACTAGGTGATTTTCATGACTGACTTCAGCGTCCCACCTGTGAGCTCTTTCAGAAATGGGCATAGGTATCTGGTAGAGCATGTGGAATCATCTTCCAGAGGGTTTTATAAGAAACAGTGGCTTCATTCATCAAAATTGCATTAGTTTGAGTCACGCCCCAGAGAGGGGACAGGATGACCCTAGAGGCCTAAAAACCAAGAAGGTTTTGCCTACTCAGTCATACCTAGTGTGTCCTCTAGGGTGGCAGGAGACAGATGGCTACTTTTAATCCGGAAGTGGAACTGGTGGGGACTAGAAATGGTGGCCAGATGTTCCTGCTTCTGAACCAGTCAGTGCTTTGATTTCCAAAAATCCTTTCCTGGGCAGAGTGATCATCTTAGGGTGAACTTTGCTGGTGTTGACTGACACAGGTCAAGTTTGATGGCGAGGGCCATGTAAACACATGAATGACAAGGAATGCATGTTCATCCCCTCTCCAAGGAGAATACCGTTGGCCACGTCCTAGCAGTAAGATATTTGATCTATCTCCCTAAAATCAGATGGAAGTAGTATTTCTCCAGGTATATATTATTGTCCTCATTTTACAAATGAGGAAACTGAGGTTTGGAGAAGTAAAGTCACAGCAAAGAAGAAGCAGAGCTGGGATCCTAAACTGAGACAGAAGCTCTTTTCACAAGGATGAGAAATTGAAAACAATTTTTTAACCACACAACTGAAGAAGTGAACTAGATTATTTCGACTATTACCTGCTGCAGAGTGTAGCTGGCAATATCCACAGCAGAGCTATCAGGACCCTAGTTCGTATTCCACCTCCCGACTCTGTTAATGGCTCAGTCCTGTGGGCACTGATTTCATAGGGATGGGAAGGGGACAGGGAAGAGAGTTCAGCTTGATAAAATGGGAGATCTGAAGAACAGGCGACTGTTGACTCCACTTCTCACCTTGTCCACATTCCCTCCTGTTTTTATCATGCAACTTGTTATTTTACACACAAACTCCAAGGACAGGCTCACAACAAGAATGACAAGTCAGATAGAAGAAACTGGAGAAGTTCCAGGGAAGGTGTCAGAGTGGCTGCCTGCTTGTATTTTTATGCCAGCACACATGTGAGATTTCTCCCTGTAATTCAAGTCCCTTCCACGCTGATTGCTGAGCCTCATGTACCAGAGGCAAGTTGCAAACATCCCAGCTGTCACCTACCCCTGCGGACACCAGGTGCCAGGGTCTTGCATTGGCCTTCATCTGCATCTATTGCATTTGAAGCAGTTTGGAGAACTGCTCTCTTCATATGAGATTGGGAACAATTGGGATTGTCCAAGGTGCTATTATTGCTTATGAAATGATGTGGCATCTCATTGCGGTTTATTCCCAGCTCTCTGCTCCAAAGCAGCCAGTCTGGTTAGGAGAGGCTGTGCTTCTCTAACTCTAATACCTGCCTTCACTCAGAGGCCAGCTCTGAGGTATCTGCAGGATGCAGGGCAACCTGGCCAGCACCGCCCATCTTGTGGGACTGCATCTTCCCTTTGCTCTGGCCAGAGGGACACAGGTCACTGAGAGGACTCTGGTGGATCTCTGACTGTGTCGTGGCCTCTGTTCCCTTCCCATTCTCACTTCAGATTCATGGATCACCCCACTCCTCCATGGTCCCCTAACAGTGAATTACTTCTACTTTTTTCATTCTAACTTCCCACTTTTTGTTTCCTAACTAGCAAAATTTAAATCTGTCAACATCAGGAAAAATGGTAAAATGTTAGATTTCTTTTTAAAAAGGATTTGTATTAAGTTCAACAAACTCAGCTAACTAGTAGCAGGTATAATAATAATAATAACAAACACATGCCGGGCGTGGTGGCTCATGTCTGTAATGCCAGCACTTTGGGAGGCTGAGGTGGGCGGATCACTTGAGCCCAGGAGTTCAAGACTCACCTGGGCAACATGGTGAGACCTTGTCTCTAAAACAAACAAAAGACATGGCCACTAGCATTTGTGGGGTACCTCCTAAACATAACCTATGAGGTAGGTAATATGATCAACCCTCATTCTAAGACAAGGAGTCTGACCATGGAGAAACTAAGGACCTGGCCACAGTCACACAGTGAGTGGCAGAGCCGGACCTGGACCCAAGCGGTTTGACCCAGAGCCCGCACCACTGGTTCTAGTGGGGGTGCTCTTCCGCCTGTCACTGCCCATATGAGCCAGAGTGAAAGAAGCAGAGGGGGGCCCTCTGCTGCCTCCCTCCCCTGCCTTCCCCCCACCTCCCTTCCCTACTTCTTTCCCTGTTATTTCAAACTGTCCAGTAGCCTCCTGCAGGCCCAAGGCTTCATTTCCATCCCTCCACCTCTCCTTTGTAGGTCTTTCCTCTATCTCAGCAAGCATTATGACCCCCTCCGTGCCTCTGCCCCACCTCTGCCCCCCTCTCATTTTTACGCACATACGGACATTCCCCACTGCAGCCAGACTGGCCCCTCTGACCCACCCCACTGTCTCACACCTTCATCTGCTCAAAATTTTCTGCAGGCCCTTTCTCCACCACCATTCACACAATAAGGTCTCCACTCCCCGTCTCGTCTTTCGAAGCCTGCAGTTGTAGGACTTCCCTGGGTCCTGCTTCCACAGGGAGCAGAAGAGGCAGAGCAGGCAGGCTGCCTCCCTCCCCGACTTCTCCCAGTCATTCTCCCCTCAAGGCCACCCTTCCCTGACCCATACCTCTGCCAAGCCTGCCAGGTTAGCCCTGGTGCCTCCTGGTAGGAACAGTGTTTGTGTGCAGTGCCTGGTACTCAGATATTAATAACCACCACCAGGCACTGATGACAAGCAGGAGGAAATCTAGCCCTGTGGCTTCACAGTGTCTGCATTCCAGTTATTTTTAAACAGCTTTTTGTTGTGCCCATGACATTGTGCTTGTAGCCAAGTGTCTGGATCATGACAGACCCTAAGGAAAGGACAATAACAACATTACATTAATTGCAAGTGTTTGCCAAACATATACTTAGTTTATTCCCTGGACCCAGATGCTCATACTTGTAACCCTGACTCTGAGAGAGAGTTTTAAGGCAGAACTGGACTGCTTCTTGAGACAGGACTCATGAGGCCCTGCAGAGGCCCCACTGTTCTTAGGACCAATCAGGCAGAGAATCTGTGCCGGAGAGGTGAGCCCTGAACGTGGAGAGGCCAGGAGAGCCAAACCCCAGGCCGACCTGGCCTGGCAGCCTCAGCCCCGACACCCATGCCTCACGCTCGGTGACTCGTGCCCTGACTCCATGGCACCACTTGAGCTGTGGCCCAGAAGACTCTCCCGCAGGCATATTTGACCAGCATCACGGCATAAGTTTCTGGTCACCTCCACACACTTACACTCTCTCCATTGCCATTCATGCAGCTTGACAGCGCCAAATGTCACCTGACGCCCCTGTCACAAAGGAAGCCCCTCTGGGAGGGCAAAATCCTCCACCCAGCCTAGTCCTCACAGAGTCACTCCCCCGTGAGGAAGTGAGACCCGCAGCTTCTGCTCCATCCCCTCCCCACTGTGCTCAACAGAGCCTCAAGCCTGGTGTTTACCGACTGATGGTGCCAGTGACCAGGAGGCCCTCTCTGTTGGTTCAGGCACCTCAGGGCTGATGGCGACTGTTCTATTTTGCCAGTTGCTTCTTATTTTTTTCTTCAGCTAAACTTTCCTGAGGGGCCCAGTGTTATGGGACTGTTATGAATGTAGATAACAACTCCCCGACTCTTTAATAACAGCCTTTTAAGATACAATTCACATATCATAAAACGTTTTTGTTTGTTTGTTTTGTTCTTTTCAGATGGAGTCTCACTCTGTCGCCCAGGCTGGAGTGTACTGCTGCAATCTTGGCTCACTGCAACCTCCACCTCCTGGGTTCAAGCAATTCTCCTGTCTCAGCCTCCTGAGTAGCTGGGATTACAGGTGCCCGCCACCACGCCTGGCTAATTTTTGTCTTTTTAGTAGAGACGGAGTTTCACCATGCTGGCCAGGCTGATCTCAAACTCCTGACCTCAGGTGATCCACCCGCCTCAGCCTCCCAAAGTGCTGGGATTATAGGCGTGAGCCACCGCACCCGGCCAGATGTGCCCTTTTAAAGTGTACAATTCAGTGGTTTTTAGTATATTCAGAGTTAAAAGATCACCTGATTTTTTGTGACTGGCTTCTTTCACTTGGCACAGTGTTTTCAAGGTTCGCCTGTATTGTAGCATCTGTCCGTACTTCATTCCTTTTTACTGGTGAATGAGATTCTACTGTATCACAATATACTACTTGTTTATTCATGTATCAGTTAATGGAAACTTTACACTGAAAGATGGATCGGATTGTTTCTACTATTTAGCTCTTAACACATATTGCTGCTATTAACATCCATGCACCAATTTCTGTGTGGACATACAGTTTTAATTCTCTGAGCACACACTGAGGAGTGGAATTGCTGGGTCATGTGGTAACTCGATTTTTAACAATTTAAATGACTTTCAAACTCTCTCAAAGTGACTGTACCATTTTACAACCCCATCAGCAATGCATGAGGTGTTGCCATTCTCTTTGGATGTTCACAGCAGCCTTCTAAGGTTGGTATCATTATAATCTACAACTTACAGATCAGGACACTGAGGCTCAGCAGGTAACTTGCTTGTAGTCGTGGGACTGGCAAGTGGCAAGGCTGAGACTCAGACTATGGTCTTGTGATTCCAGAGGACATGCTTTTCCCTCTGTGACCTACTGCCAAGTATGAACCCTGCATCACCTGTGAACAGCTGTGTTTCTTACCCTTTGACCTCTGTGCCTGCATCACCCGATGAGAAGTCTTTCTGTGTTGCAGGACGTGTCAGGAAATGCTGCATTTCTGGCCTTCACTCCTTTTGGGTTTGTTGTTCTTCAAGGAAACAAGAGGGTCCACTTCATTAAATGGTGAGCGTCTTCATTTCCAAAACAGGCTCTTTGTATCTCACCAGCTGGGGAGGGGCGATGGTTCCCATGTCCTTTGTCCGTGATTGGGCAGTTCTGGTTCGGAGCCCTCCCCAAAGCCTTGTGTTGATAGTGTGGTAACTGATGCAGGGAGTGGCCTCTTCCTAGGGATCCTGTTCTTCTAAAGGGGTGTCCCTGAGAGCCAGCAGCCTCTCCAGAAAGGAAAAGGGATACAATGGTTTGATTTCTGGGGAGGGTGAGAGGCCTGGGGCTGGAGCCAGTGTAAGTGGAGCCAAGTTCCTGTGAGAACTGAGTCCTTGGGGCCGTCACCCACTAAGGGTCGTAATCAGCCCTGTTGAGCCGGCTGTTCTGGAGCATCTCTGTGGTTGGCTTAGTGCCCTTACCTGCTCTACTAACAAGGGAGGGGCTCACAGACAGTGACCTCTGGGGCAGATATAAGTCCCCTGTTACTTTGGCAAAACACCCTCCTCAGACCAGCCCTCACTGCGGGCATTGTGTCTGCAAAAGCTTAGTTGCTGCTGTCTCACTCCTATCCCTCTTGGGCATTTAAGTGTCCTCAGCCTCCAGGAGTCACATTCCCACTCTTCCTTCCTTCCCTCCCCTCTCCATTCCCATCTAACAGGCAAGAGCCACTGCCTCAGCTGCAGCTACTCTGAACTGCTTCCTCTCCTGCCCCTCTCTGTTTTGTTTGGGGTCTGTTCTGCTGCATGCCTCTGGGCAGACTCTGGTTTGTTGATTGACGTTTGGTTCTCCTGGAGACCCTTTAGCTGGCCAGTCCATACAAACATCTGTCAGCGTCATCAAAACATTTTGCATATTCTACTAAGCTCCTGTGATTTCTGTACCTTCCTGGGCCTCAGACTGCCAAGTCTAAGCTGACCAGCTCCTCCGAGGGGCTTAGATAAGTGGCTTCCCTTGGTCCAGCAGAGCTCAGTGGGGGGAAGTCTGTTTGGTTTGTTTTCTCCAGGAGAGCTCATGAGGAATCTTGGGTACAGTTGCTTCCTAGTCAGCGTTCTGCTGGGGACACTGCAGGCCATCTATCCCACTGTGCCCTCTTCAGCTGGGCCACTGAGCTTGAGCTTGAGGACAGATACCGCCTTTCCAGCCCATCTTGATTTTGTGAAGGGGAGGGCATTACAGTCGTCAGCCAGAGTGCTGGTGAAACTGCTCGTCACACATGCAGGGGGGCCTTGACTCCCCAGGACAACAGCCGCGCCACAAGGCAGCTGCTGCCCTGGAGTTGGCAGAATACACCCCAACATAGCTGTTTCCTAGGCATCCTCAAGTCGGCTCACTTCACTGTGCTCTCTGGGTGAAGATGTGAGGATTTGGAATCTCCTGTCCAACAAAATGCTTTTCAGAAAAAGACAATGAGCAGGATCAGGCCACAGCCCTCTTAGTGTGGGGTCTCTGCTGCCTGGATACGTCTGGGCTATTGATGTTCCTTACAGGGCCCAGATCCACATTCCAACCAGAGTAGCTGCTGGGTGAGGTCCCTGTCAGGGGAAGTGTTTGGCTAGAAACAAGTAGGACACACCTGTCACAGACACCTGCAGTCCCTAAATTATGCCCACCCCTCCAGAAACCATGATGGCTCTTGGTTCTCACAGACGCTTTTCTTTCCACGGCTTCTCTCATGCACCACTTCTTCTGGAAGTCTCCTCGTCACCATGTGTCAACTCTGTAATAATAGATGTAAGCCCAATCTCACTCTCAAAATAAAACTCCTTCCTTTCCTAGCCTGCTTGTTGGAACCTAGGTGATCTGTGTGCTTGTCTATATATTAGCCAATTGGCATTGATTGTATTGTGTGTGTGTGAGATTGATGGTTGATTGAGAGGGAGTCTGAGAGGGAATCAGAAGGGAAGGATTACCGTGTGGCTTGTGTTAGCTCAGAACTGGTGGTCAGAAGTTGTGAAATCTCATCCTGAACCAGCCATGATTTCAGGAGCACAGAGAACAAGTGATTTTCCTCTGTCCCCTGAACTTTTTCCAGCAGTAAGTTGGGTACATGATTCTCACTACCTTTCTACTATTTCCTAGGAGATTAAGGAAATCTCCTTAGAAGTCACAAAAAAAGCAGCAGCCAGTGGAGGTGAATGTGCATGACAAGACCACCTTGGGGGTCCCAGTTGGGTAGAAAAATGGGGCAGTGACATGGAGAGGGCTGAGAGGCTCCAGAGGGCAGCTATGTTGGGCAGGTACAAGGGAAGTGAGGAGCAACCAGTACTGGAGGCCTAATTCCATGGCTCTCAGGGACATTCGCCTAAGACCTGGTAGTTTTTCCATTTTGCAAATGTAACCAAGGCTGAGAGCAGGAGGTGGATGTGGAGGTGAGATCTAGGCCGTGCCATGTACAGTAACCATGTCACTTCTTCTGATTTGTGTCTGTCCCACGGGTGATGTACCCCAGTATCCTGTTTGCCTCTTTTACTGCAGCCATTCACTGGGCTGGTGGCTTCAAGGATTTTTCTACAATAACCCCTAAGCCCCTTTCCTGGTCAGTACGCTGCATGACTGTTCCATGTAATCTGTTCTCTCTCTTTGGTATGTTGCCCTGCCCCGCTCCCTGAGATTGTTTGACATTTGTCTGCATTAAACTGCATTTTCCATCCAGTGGCACAGTCACCTGAAAGACTCAACTCCCTCAGAACCTGGTTGCATTGTTTCTCATTATTTGCTGTATCTTGAACTTTGGCCTCATCAGCTACCTGTGGCATCTTACGTTTGACAGTCCCATCCAGATAATGCACCTGTGTTATGAACCCAATCCTGAAATGGCCCCGGATACTCTGCCTAGACTCACTTTCCATGCAAATGTTTCCCTTTTACAGCCACTGTTGATAAGCCCGAAATCCTCCTGTCACCCTATTACTATAGTGTGATTGACCAGAAAACTGTGGATTGAACTGTTTCAACAACGTTCTCTAAGGCCACTGCGCTGCTGTCTTGTTTCAGTTCTGATTTTGGCTAAAATTGTGTCTGTGCCTGGAGCCCCTTCCAGTTGGGGTGGGCTGTGCATCTACAAGATTTAGCTGTGAACAGGCAGCCCGCAATGAGGTGACAGGCACTATCTTTGTACTTCTAGGAATGAGGTGACCAAGCTGAAATTTGAAGGAAAGACTTTCTATTTATACGTAAGTCAGAAAGAGGTGAGTGCTGGCTTCCTTCTCTTCAGGGAGGGCTGGGGTGATGGGATGCTTCCTGGTGGCCAGAGCCAAGCTTGAGGGACCCCAGTAGAGCCAAGCCACCCACATGCTAAGCCAAGAGCAAGGTCAGGGCCTGCAGGTACAATATGAAGGAGTGGGAAGGCCCTGGAGCACAGGACTTCCTCGGGGATGCTGTTGACACCCAGAGCTTTCACTCAAGAGATCTTTACCTCCAGGAAGTGCAAAGGAAGGCTCTTTTTCTTTCATGTATATGGGAATTCCAGAGGCAAGGGCTACTTTCTCACCAAGAGCTCTCCTGGTTCAATTTGTGCCACTTTTGTGCCAGCTGAGACTTACCCTGATTGGACTTGCTAAGTATGATGTGATGCACTGAACTGAGCTCTGCCTCAGTGGGTCCTGCGGGCCCTCCCCTCTAACTAGCCAGCTGCCAGGGCCTCTAACAGCTCTGGGGTCAGGGTCCTTGCCTACTTCACCCTTTGCTTCTCCATCTACACTCAGCCATATCAATGTGGAATTTTTTGCAGGAAAAGAAGATTATTCTTACATATTTTGCTCCAACTCCTGAAGCATGTAAGCACCTCTGGAAATGTGGAATCGAGAACCAAGCCTTCTACAAGTGAGTGGATACATGTGATGGGGACTGTCTTTCTTAAAGCCAGAGTCACAGAGAGTCAGTGACAGGAGGCCAAGTGCCCAGGAGCCTGGGGCAGCGTAGCTGGAAGTGGTCAAGAGCTTGACAGTTACCGAGAAGCCAGGTTGAGGCCAAAGGCCAGAGCTTTGCCTACCAAAGGGATTTTGTAAAGAATGTGGGGCTTGTGTATTGTTTTCTTCGATTCGATTAAGAAAGTGGTTATAAAAGCATGAGATAGTGAAGAAATGGCCTATCGAGGGAGTGATGCCAGGTAAAGTATGTCTCACTAAACCCCTTGGTCTTGTTTTTAAAATATACCATAATAATTTATGCTTTACTAAGACGTATCTGAATGAGGTCAAGGCAAGACAGAGTGTGGTATATTCTACCTGGGGTGAGCCCTGCTCTCATCAAATGCCCCTGACGGGCCAGGTCTCGGTTCCAGTAACCTGAAGGATCCTGGAGAGATGAGAACTGCTCTGGACTGAGTGGCACCATGCTCCTCTCCAGGGAAGATTCTGCTGCCTGCTGGCTGCTATGGGATGCTGGTTGGCAGAACTGGGTCCTCCCAGTTGCCAGGGCCACAGCCCCAGAGGCTGTTTCTTAGACAGGCATTCTGAATTGCTTAATACTCGTTATGTGTTTATACCAGAATCAAGGATTCACTGAATCGGCAGTGAGTTCTTCTCCTGAATACACTCAGGGAAGACTTTGGCATGGTCACACTTCCCTCCTGTTCAGTCCCTACTATCCATAGAAAGTCAAGAAAACATTTATTTTCTTTTGCTACCACTATCCCTTTGCCTGTGAGGATGTAATCCAGGTTTGGCCAGCTACCTGAACCTGGAGAGAAGCAATCTGAGATGCAAGCTCCTGCTTGTGGGACTGAGGAGCAGCCCAGGAAGGATGGGGGTTCCATGGGTCTCCCCAGCAGAGAGAGGAAGGCACTAGCAGACAGGGGCCTACTCCACACTGAGCGATCCCTGCCCTGGGAATGGCGTATGTGGAAGCGTTCCCTTTCTCTCTGCCAAAGGGTCTAATGCAAATGGAAGCAGTCTCCTTGCCTCTTGTCTTTTCATGCCTTCAGCACCATTTCTAAAGGGCTTGGTTTTCCCATCTGTGTCATGGAAACAGACGTGTGCTTCTGAACCTGTGACCACAGCCGGTTTCTGAGTCTTCCCACGAGTAGATCTCCATACCCACCCAGCCCTGCCTGCACCCACACTGGAAACGGAGGTCATTTTTCAGTTTTCCATTGCCTCCTTGATGTTCTCGTTAAATGATAAAAGCCTCTAGCCTGGGTCAGATCCCCAGGTATGCCAAGTCTCTGGCAGCAGCGCTTTGGCCTTGCCCTCAGTGTCTCTCATATACAGATCCCTAGTCCTGCCTTTGGCCTAGTGCCTTGGCGGGCGCCCAGTCAGATACAACAGCATGCCCAGGCAGGAGAGTAAGCAGCTCGGATGTCCTGGAGCCCTGAGACGGGCAGAGATGGTGTCTCCCAAGAACTGTTCATGGATTGTGGAGACAGCTCCTACTCACTGCTCATAGCACAGGTTTCAGACCCACATGGGTTCCTGGTTGGATCAGTATCATAGGCACCTGGGCATCTTACAGGTGAATCCCATCTTAGGAGGCTTCTCTCTGAGCTGCTGTGCCCAGGCTGAGAGAGCTAATGGGCTCAGTGAAGTCACCCAGGAGAAAGTAGTACAGAGCTCCACATCAGCTGTCTGCAGCTTCAAACGAGATATTAAATAGACATCCCGGGGGAGGGAGGAAGGCTCCACATTCAAATACATGACAGAACTTTTATGAAAGTTAAGCTAGTTTCTTCATCGCAGGATTTCTCAGTCTTTACCATGGTCATGTATTTTAGGACCCTCCAAAAGGGAGATGGGACAGGAAGGACAGCCCCCATCCTCTTCTCTACCCACAATTACCCAGACATGGACACAAAATCAAATACTGGGACTAGAAAGGAGACCCCTAAGGTCCAGTAGTCCCAGCTCTATCATTTTATAAGAAGGGTGAGGCTAAGAGAGAAGGAAATTTGCCCGAGGTCACACTGCTAATAAGTGACCTGGCTGAGATTAGACGGGTGGCATTCTATTATTCCCCCAGACCATCCACCCTAGCATGTATTCTCTCAGTCCCCCTGGTAAAACCTATGAAGCATTTTGGGGGAGCCTTCACTCTCCTGACACAAAAATGGGTTTCCATGCAACAGTCCTGGGCACTGAGGCAGGAAGGCAGCTGGCTGTGAGCACAGCCCCCAGATCCTAGGATGGTGACAGTCAGAGACAAGTGTGGACTATGAAGGGCTTTTTTCCTGAAGTTTCAAGTAGCCTTTGGAAGAAGCTGGGGATGTGCTGCCTTAGCCTGTGTGAGGCAGTTCAGGCTGTCTATCACACTGGACTTTGCCTTGCTGCAGGCTGGAGAAGTCAAGCCAAGTCCGCACAGTGTCCAGCAGCAATTTATTCTTTAAAGGGAGCCGGTTCCGATACAGGTAAATAGTGACAGTAAGTAACCATTATGGATCTATTTTCAGACCCTTCTCTGGAGAACACTCAGTAGTCCTTATCCTTTAGAACAGAGAAACTGGGGAAGACTCAGAAAAGTCTGAGGTCTCCATCCAATTCTCCTGTCTTATGACCCTTTATTTCCTTCCTTCCCTACAGCTATTTGTCTATAGGGTTTTAAATGTATATCGGCCGGCCACAGTGGCTCACGCCTATAATCCCAGCACTTTGGGAGGCTGAGGCAGGTGGATTACTTGAGGCCAGGAGTTTGAAACCAGCCTGGGCAACATGATGAAACCCCATCTCTACTAAAAATACCAAAAAAACAAAAAAGAAAATTAGCTGAGTGTGGTGGCACGTGCCTATAGTCCCAGCTACTTGGGAGGCTGAGGTGGGAGAATCGCTTGAGCTCAGGAGGTCGAGGCTGCAGTGAGCCATGATTGCACCACCGCACACCAGCCTGGGAGACAGAACAAGACCTTGTCTCCAAGAAAATGAAAAATAAATGTGTATCTTCTCTTTCCCTTACAATAGCAGCAAAATAAGAACTGTAACAGTGATTCTTTTCATGTCTCACTGTCTAAAGATTGTTCTTATGTATTTTTTTGTGATGTAATTGGAACATGCTGGAAATTGAGGAATTATTCCTAAATAGAATGGAAGATCCTAAAGACTCTAGAGATGGAGAGAGCTCTCTCTCAGATAGGCTGTCATGACACTTAGGAACTCTGTACCCCAGCAAGCAAGCCTTTCTCCGTGACCAAAACATCACGGAAAGGGTGGGCCACAGATGCCATTTCCTGATTCAGGGAAAGCACCTGAGATCTTGGAGAGGAGCTGTCCTGGAACACAGTCTCATTTCTTGCCACTTGTTTTTATTATACTACTTACAGCGGCCGAGTTGCAAAGGAAGTCATGGAGTCAAGTGCTAAGATCAAACGGGAGCCACCGGAAATACACAGGTAGGCTGCCAGGGGCTTCCCCCAAAACAATTCTATCTCAGATCCCAGAATCTCAATCCAGCAGTTTGAGTACTGTGAAGCCCCTGGCTCCAGTGGCTACCAAAAGGTCCAAAATAAGGCAGAAGGCTGAAGAAATTTCTCAGAAGGGATGGGGAAAAGTCTTTGACCCTTAATAAGACAGCAGGGGAGGGAGGGCTACTGCAGATAGTACATCAGATCCAGGTGCCACTTCACTTGGCAATTCTCTTCTGCCCTCCCAAGTCTTGACATTGATGATAGATGTGTCACACAATTTCAGTGGTTCTGGAACCAGTCGATTACATGAAGCCAAGGATAGTCCCACAGCCCTGCCACACTGGCTCTAAAATAGTTTCAGGATCCATGCTTCCTGTAGATCCACAAATCATGTTTCCAGAAGCCTATTTCCTGGAATCTAAGACCCAGAAAGAATATGACTGACCAAGAAGGGTAGGACTTGCCAACCAGCCTTTGCCTCTGGGCATGGGAGCATGACTGCCTACCCCTTCACATGGAGCCCTGCCATCCGCAGCCTGTACTGGAAGTCAGGGGAGGCTGCCAGTATTGGTCCAGGCATATTTTCAGGAGTACTGCTCATCCTGGGGCTCTACTCTCTGACCGTCTTGCCCCCACCCCTGAGACCAGTGGCACCGCTGCCACACTAAAAGAAAAAGGTTCAGATTGGTCTAGGCTTACAAGGAAGTGGAGGAGTTTGAAGCACTATCTCTGACTGGAATCCAGGGACCAAAGGCAAAGAGAAGGTATTAAAGATTTTTAAAAAGAGACTAAAACTTAATACAGCCAGGCAATTCTAGTAGCCAGTACTCAGCTCTTAAGTGCCTACTAAATGTGTCCATGCGTTGAATTAACAAGGTTCTTTAATCTCAGAGCAGGGATGGTTCCCAGCCGGAGCTGTCCCTCCATAACCCATGGCCCAAGGCTGAGCAGCGTCCCCAGGACCCGCAGGAGAGCTGTTCACATCTCCATCATGGAAGGTGAGCATGAGCTCCTTGAGGTGACCACTGGGGTCCTCCAAATTGTGATCTGGGACCTTGAAAAGGACTTTGAAAAGAGGCTAATTTACATTAGTGACAGCAGCATGTCTCTTGGGGAGAAGGGTCTCCAGTGGCAAGTAGGAGGTTTTATCCAGCGGATGGGAATACTAGCTGGGTACAGGGTGAAGGGGTGTGGGTATCTAGGCAGGGGGGTTGTGGATTTGAGGGTGCTGGGTTAGCCCTTTGGAGGACCTGCATATGTGGGATCTAAAGGTTCCATGCAGTTATGAAATTGCTTTCCATCAAGAGGCTTTTCACGCCTGGCATGGTGGCTCATGCCTGTAGTCTCAGTACTTTTGGGAGGCCTAGATGGGTGGATCACTTGAGGTCCGGAGTTCAAGACTAGCCTGGCCAAAATGGTGAAACCCTGTCTACTAAAAATACAAAAATTAGCTGGGTATGCTGGCGCATGACTGTAATCCCAGCTACTCGTGAGGCTGAGGTAGGAGACTCGCTTGAGCCTGGGAGGCAGAGGTTACAGTGAGCTGAGTTCACGCCACTGCTCTCCAGCCTGGGTAAAGGAGACTGTCAAAAAAAAAAAAAAAAGTTTTAAAAGGGGGCTGGCGCAGTGGCTCACACCTGTAATCCCAGCACTTTGGGAGGCTCACTTCAGGTCAGGAGTTTGAGAACAGCCTGGCCAACATGGTGAAACCCCTTCTCTACTAAAAATACAAAAAATTAGTTGGGCGTGGTAGTACAAGCCTGTAATCCCAGCTACTAGGGAGGCTGAGGTGGGAGAATTGCTTGAACCCAGAAGGCAGAGGTGGAGGCTGCAGTGAGCCCAGATTGCACCACTGCACTCCAGCCTGGGTGACAGAGACTCCGTCTCAAGAAAAAAAAAAAAGAGGGTTTTCACTTGTTTGCTAAATCTGACCAATCTCCACAGCTTAAATTATCAGGATGGCTGAGACTATTAACCAGTAAGTGAAAATTCTTGAATCTGAAGCATTTCTAGTAGCTGTCACCCACCATGTTTTGCTTCAGCTATAGAAATCTGTCCTGTTGGCTGGGCACAGTGGTTCATGCCCGTAATCCCAGCATTCTGGGAGGCCGAGACAGGTGGATCACCTGAGGTCAGTAGTTTGAGACCAGCCTGGCCAACATGGTGAAACCCCGTCTCTACTAAAAATACAAAAATTGGGTGTGGTGATGCACGCCTGTAATCCCAGCTACTTGGGAGGTTGAGGCAAGAGGATCGCTTGAACCCAGGAGGCAGAGGTTACAGTGAGCCAAGATTGTGCCACTGCACTCCAGCCTGGGCTGGAGTTAAGACTCCATCAACAGAGTTAAGACTCCATCTCAAAAAAAAAAAAAAAAAAAAAAAAAGCAATTTGTCCTGTTGCTATCTGCATATCTTACCACTGTCTCAGGAAATCCAATATGACCCATCTCCCTCCAGACTCCCTTCCTTTGGAGGCAGCAGAGGTGGGGAGAGAGAGAAATTCTGTCTCTCCACTGAACTAGATACCCCAGTAGCTGAGGCCAACAATCTGTTCTCTGGGTAGTTAATGCTGTTAGGAGGTACTCCCAGAATACTGCCCTCTAGCTGTTGTCACTGGCCCAGGTCACCCGCAGGCTGGATACAGGTGTAAAGTTGAGTGCTTTCATTCCCAAAGATGGTGTTTTTTGGGGACCTCAGAAGATCTCACACAGGAGACAGAAGGATTGGTTCATACCTGTCTCTCTCCTGGGATTAACGGTGTAGAAGCTGGTGGGGACAGCCCTTTGCCTTTTCTGTAAGAATGCTGCTTGGGAATGAAAATGCTCAGGTTAGGAAGGATATCACTCTGCTGTTTCCCTGAGATCTAATTTGTGTTTAGGATTTTAGGACGTGTCACTGCGTGAGATTCCATGTTACCAGAGTCTGGTATGTAACTCCCTACGGTCTAGAGGTTGAGAACCCCGGCTAGACAAACACTGTCAAGTTACTTGAGTATCTTCAATGCTCCATTTGTAAAACAGGGACATCTTCCTTGCCCACTCCATCGGTTGCAAGGAAGCTAATATGTGCAGAAGTACTTTAAAGAGACTAAAGCGTTTACAGGCAGGCAGCAAGCACAGTGCAGAATCCTGGTCAGGAAGCCAAGGTGTGACTAGGAGCTCTGCCATGCACCTTCTGAAACAGGTTGTTTTCTCTCTGAGCCTAGTGCCCCCAGTGCAGAACAGAGCTGAGTGCGGGAGAGTGTGGACTACCAAGTAGAATCATTATGCAAAGAATGGAATTATGGATACATGACCATCATCAGACACAGCCTCCTGGTGTTTCCTCCCATCTTAGGCTGACCCGGAGAACTGAGCTTGGCTCTCACTGTCCCTCTTTTGGGGTGTACATCTCAGGAAGTAGAATGAACTTCTCTTTGAGGAAACATAACTTTCTCCCCTCTGTGGCCTTTCTTTCCATCCCTCCTGAGGCTGAAGCTAGACGGTCCATCCCAAGTTTTCCACAGAGCTGGGACAGCTGTCCTCCCGAACAGAAGGCTTACCCTAGGGAAGCCAGCACCATGCAGGATTAAAACAGGAGGAGCCTTGTGCAAGCCGACTTCCCAGAACAGGGAAGAATGTCCAGGAAACCAGCATTCCCAAAAGAGGGAGGGCGGAGGCTCTCTGTGTAGACAAAACTCATTGAGAGCTGCTGCCAAGTAGGGTTAGTAGAACAACTCAAGAGGCAGGGAAAACAGTCCTTGTGATCCTGAGACATGCTGAGGCTGCCTAAGTTCCCCATTCAGCTCTGGCTTTACCTCCAGCCTCCTCCTCCTCCCAGAGCCTCTCTTCTCCCATTGCAGGAGCAGGTTCCTTGTCCAAACTATTCCCCCTTGTTGTCAAATGCAAGGAGAGGTACAGTGGGGAGAGGCTGCTGAGGAGTATAGGCCCTCTAGGGCTGGGGCACTTCCTCGAAACCAGCCTCATAGAATGGCACACTTGGTAGGTTATAGCTTAGCAGACTTCCAGGTGCTTCTCACACCCTGTGCCCAAGGCTGCCAGTGGACAAACACAGCCTGTGGCCCTGGTCATGGCCCCCAGCCCAGGACCCATTTGATGCAGGACAGGGCAAGTACAACTGACCTGGCCCAAATGAACCTTACACGCTCAGAGTGAGGAGAGGGAGATGACATCCGGTTTGGATGTGGAAATAAAAGATTGTAGCAATTAAATGGCTTTATCAGTACAGGGGTTACCAAGCCTGTGGAAGAATGGATTAGTTTCTAGGAGGCAAGAGTTCAGATGCAACATCTTTCAAGAGGGCTTGCCTTTAAAGGTCCTGACAAGCACAGCTGACCCTAACTGCCCACCCCAACCAGGGAGGAAGGGGCTGCGAGGGATGTGATGAGGGCCTCAGAAGAAGGGCACAACCAACAAAAACCCCAAGGAATTTATGGGCATTTGAAATTGGTTCATGCTCCACCAAAGACTGTCTTTTCTATAGTCCATTTGGCCCATTTAGTATCACAGAGACCACCTCCTCCCACTTCAGAGCCACCCAGCCCCAAAGGTAGCGCTGACCATGCAACTTGGCTGGCACCAGGGCAGGCCTGGATTATATATGGCCTGGATAAAGCCCAATGGTGTTGTAACTTTACATCCTGGATTTTCTGGGACAGTCTTGATTCCCCTTACCCTCTGGGATTGTTCTCTGCCCCCTCTGTCCCTGGCCCTCTGAGAGGTTGGAGCCCTTATCCAGGCCTCAGGGAAAGAGCTGCAGGCCAAGGAAGCATTACTTTTTATGGCTGTAAGTGCTTCTGACTAAATCCAGTCCCCTGATAACGGTGGCCTCTCAGAGCTGCTCTTTCCCTGCAGTTCAGCCTGATCTGAAGCTTGGGGAGGTGACCTTCTTCCTGCAGCACGCGAGGCACTGCTAAGGGGCTGCTATGGTGTGGGATCTGCGGAAATCCTTTGTTCCTAGTTGGCGTTCCGTCTTTCCCTCTGTATCTTTCCCTGCCTGGCTGGTTTCTCTGAAGTAATCAGCTGGTTTCCACTGAAGAAGTATTTGCCTTCCTGGGCCGCCATGGGGAAGAGTCTGATTAAGATTCACACCAGAGTCCGGGTTCAGCTCCGGCTGACTAATCACTGCTTTCGGCCCCTACGTGTGCGCATCCTGAGGATGGGGCCCCGGCTCCAGGGTAGGGTCCTGACTGCTGTGACCCCCGGGCAAGGGAACCAGCTGGAGCACTTCCAAGGTAAAAAAGACTCTCCTGCTTTGCTGTGCCACTTAGCACAGGTCCTTCCCACAGCGCCCATCCCATCTATCCCAAAATCACAGCGCCGGCGAAACGGCAGGACAGGCGGTGGCTTTTACAGCAGTGAAAACAGTTTCTAATATAGGACTAACCTGATGTGGGAGGGTCACCTTACAGGTGAGATCTATTGAGGGAGGAGACCAACTGATATTTACTGAGCAACTGTATTTGTCAGACATTTCTACTAGAAATGCATATTTAATTGGATGCAGTGGCTCATGCCTGTAATCCCAGCACTTTGGGAGGCCGAGGTGGGCAGATCACTTGAGGTCAGGAGATGAGACCAGCCTGGCCAACGTGGTGAAACCCCGTCTCTACTAAAAATACAAAAATCAGCCGGGCGTGGTGGCGGGTGCCTGTAATCCCAGATATTCGCGGGGCTGAGGTGGGAGAATCGCTTGAACCCAGGAGGTGGAGGCTGCAGTGAGCGGAGATTGCACCATTGCACTCCAGCCTGGACGATGGCGTGAGATTCCATCTCAAAAAAAAGAAAAAGAAATGCCTATCTATCCATTACCTTGTTTAATGAGAGCACCAACAGCTCCCAGTATGATGTGGCTCCAGGTGGTCCTCTGACTTTTTCTCTTCTGATGTCACAGCATCCGCCTCTCTCCTTCCCCACAAGCTGAGGGCACGTAATCGTAGGTTAAGCTAAGCTTTTCTACTTTGAAAGATCTTGCAGTCAGAGCTGTCCTCGTGAAGGGGCAGGCCTTTGAAAGGGTGGCAGGTGCCCTGTGCAATGGGGCCGAGGTTCCAGGAAAAGGGGGGCAGAGGACTGCCTGGGAAAGGAGCCAAGCCAGCAATATGCTGCAACCAGGGCCTTAAGGTTTCTGCCTTATCAGTGACCCATAACCTGTTCCAAGGTACCTCTTCCTCAAGCTGCATGTGCAAATGGGGACATCAGGGAGGAATACTGGGTAAGAGAGAGGTCAAAGGAACAGCAAGAGCTCTAGAACAAGGGACAGAGGCTCCTAATTTCAGGTTATTTCAAAAAAGTTTCTTGGGCAATTAAGACCTAAATCTAAGGTAGATGCTGGCTGTTGATTTAATCCATCCTGGCCCATGGTTCCATTCCATGGAATCCGACTACAGTTAAGTCGTCACTTAACATCGTTGATAGGGTCTTAGAAACTGCAACTTTAAGCAAAATGATGTACAATGAAACTTCTGTTTTCCTCATCAACATTATAACAAAATGGGGCTGGGCGTGGTGGCTCACATCTATAATCCCAGCACAAAAACCTGTCTCTACAAAAAGATACAAAAATTAGCTAGGCATGGTGGCACATGCCTGTAGTCCCAGCTACTCAGGAGGCTGAGGTGGGAGGATCACCTGAGCCTGGGAGGTCGAGGCTGCAGTGAGCTATGATTGCACTACTGCACTCCAGTCTAGGCAATGGAGTAAGACTGTCTCAAAAAACTAAAAAACTTTTTCAAAATTATAAAAAAATGATGCTGAAGAAAACATTGGAGGACCTGCTGTAACATTTGACTTAAAGTCATGGTTTCCAGGAGCCTGTTGACAACGTGAGGACTTAATGGACATGATCAGCAGGATCATGAACTAGAAAGTGCCTTGGATTCTATCCTTGGTTTTGCCATTAACCACCAACCACATGACTTCAGGTAACCCCTTGCCCACACTACCTTGTGGAGTTACTGAAAGATAAAATGAAAGTGCTTTAAAAAGTTGAAAGCATTATACAAATTTAAGATTTTAGCACAGGGACAGCTAGGACTATGAGGAGCTTCTGAAAGCAGAGATTGAGAACTGTGGCAAATGTATGAGCCGTGAGGCAATGGAAGGCGTAACTGGATGGCAGGTGCCCTGCCTTTGCCCCCACCCCCTCTCTCCCTTGTCCTACTCATTCATAGCCCAGATTCCAGGGCTTATTCCTCTGGAGAATCCTTAACTGTGCCTGTGCCAAGACAGGCTCCACCAGGCTGGTCAAGCAGGCTGCCTGGGTGCAAATGGTCAAGCCATGAGGGAGCCAAGGAAGATGGACACACTGCTTCTGAAAGGTTACTAACACCTTTTTAAGAGAGACCTTTGGACTGCTTTGTGTCCTGGGAGAAGGGGAAAAAAGACAGCTTTGGGCATCTGGAGCTAGCCCTGAACCAAAAAACTCCCTAATCAGCCTGACTTAGGTAAAACCTTTACTGAGCTAGGAATCTGGTTCAGTCTGGGATTGTCAGGGACTATTTCAGGGCAACAGAAAGGGACTGGCTTTTCTTGTCATAGGTCACAAAGGCAGAGAGAACCACACCAGCACTACCAAGATGGCCAGGAGTGGAAAATGTAGACGTTGAGCCTAAAACAAGAAGCCATGTCCTTGGGAGCACTGTGATGTGGGCCACACTCACTCACTGTATGCCCAAAGCCTCTGGCCTGGGTAGCTGCTGTTCAGTTGAGAGTGTAACCAGCTAGTTTTCCCTGCCAGGGCTTGAGTCCTGTGAGAACCTTGGAAAGAGAGAAGAGATAATGGGTAGTTTTAGGGGATAGAATACCCCTTTCTCCTACCAAATGTAAAAGAAATCCACCCACCCACCCCTCACCGACCCAACAAGATCTTCTCAGAAACCGTTTTGTGCTCTGAAGGGCCTAAAGATAGGGGAGCTTTTCAGCCTATCCTAGACCCAGCTCCTTCTCAGGGGAAAAGAGGGAGCTGGCCAGGGACTACTCCCACGCCCCCTCAAGAAGAGCAGAGAGAGTTTCTACCCCATCATTCCACAAGGTCAGAACAGCTAGAACGGAGGCTGAAGAGACTGAGAGCAGCTGCAGAAATCCAAAAATTTTGACCTTATGAGCTCAAGATGCTGTATGCTGATGCTGGATTTTTACAAGGATACTCAGTATTTGATGGAACCCAGTTAGGCAAGACATTCTCCTTCTCCCCATTCCTACTTCTCTTTTGTTAAAAAGTTTATAGTTACAGTGTCTAACCACATGACTTCAGGTAACCCCTTGCCCACACTACCTTGTGGAGTTACTGAAAGATAAAATGAAAGTGCTTTAAAAAGTTGAAAGCATTATACAAATTTAAGATTTTAGTGTCTCGCTATGTTGCCCAGCCTGGTCTTGAACCCTTTGGCTCAAGTGATCCACCCGCCTTGGCCTCCCAAAGTGCTGGGATTACAGATGGGAGCCATCGCGTCTGGCCCATTCCTGCCTCTTAAAGCCTTCCACCCAATAGGCAGACTTGAGACTCAAACCGTGGTGCCAGCTCTGCATCGGGTAGTTTGGAATTCAGATTCTTTCAAATTGGGGTAAAAACCAGGCCTAGGACACTAAAGGCAAGGAAGGCAGAATCTTTAAGAAATTAGGGGCTGGGTGTGGTGGCTCACGCCTATAATCCTAGCACTTTTGGAGGCCAGGCATTCTAGACCAGCATGGCCAAAATGCCAAACCCCATCTCTACTCAAAATACAAAAAATTAGCCAGGCGTGGTGGCAGACACCTGTAATCCCAGCCACTCAGAAGGCTGAAACACGAGAATCGCTTGAACCCAGGAGGCAGAGGCTGTAGTGAGCCAAGATTGCACCACTGCATTCCAACCTGGGCGACAGAGTAAGACTCCGTCTCAAAAAAAAACCACGCACACACAAATTAGGCCAAAACCATAAGCAAAAAGCAAAGAAATACTTTTCTAAAATGGCCACTGTGATTTCTATGGCTCCTCTTGTTTCATACATATATTTTATATATATCATATATATCATATATACATGATATATATTTTATATGTGCTATATATAGTAATATATATATTATATATTATATATATATTATATATATATATGAGACAGTCTTGCTCTGTTGCTTAGGCTGGAATGCAGTGGTGTGATCTTGGTTCACTGCAGCTTTGACCTCCCAGCCTCAAGCAACCCACCCACCTACAAAGTAACTGGGACAACAGGCATGCACTACCACACCTGGCTTCCTCCCCACCCCAAGGCAGAATCTTGCTCTGTTGCCCAGGCTGGAGTGCAGTGGCACGATCTCTGCTCACTGCAACCTCTGCCTCCCGAGTTCAAGAAGTTCTTCTGCCTCAGCCTCCCGAGTAGCTGGGATTACAGGCGCCCGCCACCACACAAATACAAAGTTTTGTATTTTTAGTAGAGATGGGGTTTCACCATGTTGGCCAGGCTGGTCTCGAACTCCTTACCTCGTGATCCGCCTGCCTCGGCCTCCTAAAGTGCTGGGATTACAGGCGTGAGCCACGGTGCCCAGCCTTTTTTTTTTTTTTTTTTTTTTTTAAACATGGAGTCTCACTCTGTTGCCGAGGATGGAGTGTAATGGTGCAATCTCAGCTCACTGCTGCAACCTCCGCCTCCCAGGTTCAAGCGATTCTCCTGCCTCAGCCTCCCAAGTAGCTGGGATTACAGGCATGTGCCACCACACCTAATTTTGTATTTTTACTTGAGATGGGGTTTCACCACGTTGGCCAGGCTGGTCTGGAACTCCTGATCTCAAGCAGTCCACCCACCTTGGCCTCCCAAAGTGCTGAGATTACAGGCGTGAGCCATCACGCCCAGGCTGTCATCTTCTTGATATATCGAAATAGAGTGCAGCGGCTACTGCTGCTGGTCATGTGGGTGTGCAGAATGGTACCCAATAAAACACAGTGGGTGCCACTGGAAAGCAAAGGGTGCATTGGGACACAGCCTAGTCATGTTCCTTTTGCCTTTCTAGGCCTAGAGTCCCTACGGGACAGTGCCCATTCCACGCCAGTGCGTTCCTCTTCCCATGGGGACACCTTCCTGCCTCACGTGAGAAGCAGCCGGACAGATAGCAATGAGCGAGTAGCTGTGATTGCAGACGAGGCCTACAGCCCTGCAGACAGCGTGCTGCCCACCCCTGTGGCTGAGCACAGCCTGGAGCTGATGTTGCTTTCCCGGCAGATCAATGGAGCCACCTGCAGCATCGAGGAGGAGAAGGAATCTGAAGCCAGCACCCCAACTGCTACAGAGGTGGAGGCCCTTGGGGGAGAGCTGAGGGCCCTGTGTCAGGGGCACGGCGGGCCCGAGGAGGAACAGGTGAATAAGTTTGTTCTAAGTGTCCTCCGTTTGCTCCTTGTGACCATGGGACTCCTCTTTGTTTTGCTCCTCCTCCTGATCATCCTTACCGAGTCTGACCTTGACATTGCCTTTTTCCGCGATATCCGCCAGACCCCCGAGTTTGAACAATTCCACTATCAATACTTTTGTCCCCTCAGGCGATGGTTTGCCTGCAAAATCCGCTCAGTGGTGAGCCTGCTCATTGACACCTGAGAAGGCATGACTCCTCCCAAAAACTAGCCAGGTGGACCAAGGAGCCCGGCTACCCATTCCCAGCAATGGGACCCATCGCGGAACCATCGGCACATATACCAAGTCCTCCTCTCATGACTCAAAGTCCACTGCAGCCTAGGAGGGTGTTTCCCAGAAGAAGAAAGGGATAGGCTCACGCCCTGTCTAAACAAACTGGGAAAACTCATTTTCTTCAGAAGTTATTTCAAGAAAGGCTCAGCGACTCTGTTTCTCATCTTTCCAATTTGCAGGATAATTTTTGGTTTATGAATTTTGATTTTTCATAGATGTGTATTATTTTGAAGTATCAAATAAAAATAATTTATTTTACTATTACTGATTATTGCAGTAGTGTCACCTAGCAGAGGGGACACTAGTTGAAGACTAGAGAGCTGCTGTCCTCTGTATTCTGCAGGAGCTTTCCTGCTGGTGCCACTGGGTTCCAGTAGATTAGTCACTGCAGCCTCAGCAGGGCAGGCCAGGGATCTGGACAATGAGGACTGTTTAGTTTTTTTTGCCAGACAGAACTTTTAAAAAGGTAAACATCCATGTAGAATGATTAAATGGAAAGTTGCTTCTTATGATGGTCTGAGTTGGATTTTCTTTTCCTTTTGTTTTTTCAAATCTGAGCAGAGTGGGCATCTGAAGGGACCACCGCTACAGCAGCAGCAGCAGCAGGGGTGGGGTAAGTCTGTCCCCTTAGTCTAGAGCCTAGTGGGCATCACCACAGTTTTGTATAATGAAACTAGACTTAACGTGATTTTTTTTTCTGAAGAACCTCAAGACTTTTATAGTGCTCCAGGGGCGTTAAATGAATTCAGTGGTGCCAGAGAGAGTTCTGTCAGAAATGTTGGACGAAGTGTGGTTAAGAGAAAGAGTTAAGTTACCTGAGAGACTGTTGAGATTTGGAGAGCAGTCCTTATTTTATATACACCCCCCGACCCAAAGACTATTTCAATTTATATTTTAACAACAAAATGTTATTTTCTTAACAATTCATATTTTGTTTTTACTTTATGGATTAAGAAAATAGACCCTGATGAACTAAACGATGCAAGAAAGAAACTGATCCTGAGAATGAAAAGCTTCAGAAAATAGAATTCCAAGATCAACAGCCTTAGAAGGGCTAAGGAAAAGAATCTTTTAAAATAGGATTTCTAAGAGATGCCTACAAAACACAGAAGGTGACCGTAGCAGAGACCAACACTTAGATGTAGAAATGCTGCCCCCTAGGGTCATCCTCTGCATAAGTTCTAGGAAAGCATCACCATCCTTGCAGAGGGAAGTCCTGGAAGCACACAGAAGCACAGGCATAGGAAGGGTGAGTGTGGGGTCCTAGGCCCAAGCTCTTCAACTCTAAAACCAATCACACACAAGATCCTGTTTTCATCTCAGGGAGAGATTTCTAAGTCATCTGGGGCTTGAGGGCTTATTTAAGGATGGTCAATGGACATATTCCTGGACCCACACAAAAGTAGAGCAGCTGCTGATTCCCTAATTGGACAGCCCCAAACACAGAACAGAATGAGTCACTTGTAGATTTGACCTCCCCTATTTTGTCCCCTGAGATGGTAGAACCATGTCCATGTTTAGAATACAACAACTGTGGAATAATCGGGGCTCTTAGGGAGAGATTTGCATAATTTTAAAGACATCCTTTCATCTGGACCAGAGGTCAATAAACTTCTGTAAAATGCTACACAGTAATTATTTTGGCTTAGCACGCCTTGCTCTGTCACAACCACTCAAGTCTGCCATCACAGCACAAAAACAGCCATAATTTGTAAATGAAGGAACATGGCTGTGTTCCAATAAAACTTTATGAAAACAGTGAGCTGAATTTGGCCTACAGGCCATAATATGCCAATCCTGATCTAGACAGTAAAACTGATCCTTACCAATATGTTAGCAGAAGAGGGTCAGTCAGCTCTGTTTCCATGCCTGACATGTATTAAAGATCTGGGACCTCTTCCCAGTGGAGGCACCAGGGTTGCTTGTTTAAAGGGTGCTTGAACAACTAACCAGCAAAAAGATGTCTGATGCCAAATGGCCAAGTACTGGAATGCTAAAACACAGCTGGAATCTAAGAAGGGAAGAGGGCCTCTCTGACCATTTTCATACCAGCAACAATTTAGGCAGAATTATAAACATCTGTTTATCGAGTGACAATATAAACCGAAAGAGATCCTAGTAGAGATTAGGGGTCAGTTAAAACCAACTAGCCACTGCCACTTGTCATCTACATAGCAAAGGCTTTATTTAGCACAGGACTAATGTGAAAAGTAGACCCAGAGATTAAAAGGCTGTCAGGAGACAGGGGGCTGGTGTCAACCTGGATATCTACTGTCTTATGCAACATAGAAGATTACCTTTTAGTGTAGTGCTCCTACCTCAGTTTGTAGAATCTGGTGTTTCTATGCAGTGAGTGATAGCCTCAACTCCGACCTTTCATATTCACATTAGAGACAGATGCAATTCCATATCCTAGTATGTTCCTTGTGTCTAGAGTTCTAACAGTACAGTAGTCTATGCCATTTCTAACAGCTAAATTTTGCTCTCTAAACAGAAACTTTAGGGTTGTTTTTTTCCAGGGCTCATCCCAGAAAATATGGATAGAAAAGTTTCCTTCAGTTTGCTTTTCAAATAGTGCTTGAATAATAAACCTCCTTTGGTGATTAGTCTTTTTTGGTATATCTCCACCATTAAAAATTGTTCAAGTTTTTAACCTGGTTATACTGTGTTCTAACATGTCTCATTTTCTCTCAAAATTATTTTATCTCATTGTAGAAAAAGCACTGGTTTTCATAGCTTCATCTATCAGAGGAAATAAAACTCTTACTAAAGAATAGTGTACTGCATCTTTAAGCAGTAGAGGGTAAACTACCTGCAAATGTGAATTTCTTAGTTTCATTTAAAATATATATAGTTGTTAACCTTCCGTGTGCCAAAAACTCTTAAGTTACATTTTCCTTCAAAGCAATGTACTTTTTTCTACATATGCAGTATGTAGTTAGCATAAAATCATTGGTGCCATGAAGATTATTTTTAAACTTAAATAAATATTTAAATATCATGGAAGAGTGGGCTTTTTCTTTAATAACAGCCTGTCTTATTTTCCTCCCTTAAAGTTACACATAGATAAAAGAATACCGGTGGGATTTACACAGCTGACTACTATTCACTTGGATCATATAAAATAATCATTTTGCTTGTATCCACCTATTATCCTTGTCCCATACCCCCAAATACATACTGTTAGAAACTGAGAAGTGGCCAGGCGCAGTGGCTCACGCCTGTAATCCCAGCACTTTGGGAGGCCAAGTCGGGCAGATCACGAGGTTAGGAGTTCAAGACCAGCCTGACCAACATGGTGAAACCCCCATCTCTACTAAAAATACAAAAATTAGCCGAGCATGGCAGCGCATGCCCATAATCCCAGCTACTCAGAAGGCTGAGGCAGGAGAGAATCACTTGAACCTGGGAGGCGGAGGTTGCAGTGAGCCGAGATCGCACCACTACACTCCAGCCTGGGTGACAGAGTAAGACTATCTCAAAAAAAAAAAAAAAAAGAGAAACTGAGAAGCTATAAAATGTAATAATTTTAAAGTGAATTGGACATCATTTTTCTGATGAGGAAAACCAAGAAGGCTAAGTGATTTTCCCAAGATTACATAGTGGTAGAGCCCAAACTAGAACCCAGATGGTCCAGCTTCTGGTCTGGTGTTCTTACTCAAGCCTGGAGTAAGTGGGAGCACAGAAAATACTTTCTAAAAAGGAACTACAATGATACCACCACCACATATTTACAAAATATATCCCTATAGCATTATCTTATCTGATTATGTAACCATCACTCTGTGGCTACAGAATTGGAAATGGTCTTCCAAATTCTATGAGGATAAGAGGTGACACTGGGGGCTTGGTCCACTGTGCTAGCTTCTTACCTAATCTTTGTCTTCTCAATTCTGCCTGCCCTCCACTCTCCCATTTCTGTTTCCAGATCATCTTCCTAAACACCAATCAGGCTATGTTACCTCCAAATTTCAGAGGTACCCACTACCTATAAAATGCTATCCAGCACACTATTCCCAGTGGAATTTTTTGTATGTTTTTATGACATAAGATTTTGCTTGAAGTGATCCAAAGAGTAAAAAGCACAAGAAACACTGGACCTGGGTGGCTTCCCATGGCCCTGCCGATTCACAGCAGCCTCCCTTCTGCTGACAGCTTATCAAGAACAGCCTGTGCACACACCCTGGTAGGACTCTAGTCCCTACTCCCTCTGCTTTGGATTCCTCTAGCACAATCTAGCTCCTCTGCACCTGAACACACTTAGTTTTAGCTCATGAACAGGCTTCCTCTTCAGACCCCTACAACCTGCTGATGGAATGGAGTAAAACAAGCAAAGCACACTTTTAATAAATTTCCTCTTGCTCAGCTTCCATTTTGGGGAAAACGTATCATAAAATGTTTTGTTCTTCAGCTCTGTGTAATTGTACTAAATGTTATCTTCCTCATAAATTCCACTTTTTCATTTGAAATCCAAATATTTACAGCCAAATGAGTCAAAATACAATCTGCTATCTTGGTATTTCTAGCCATCAACACCCTACTAAAAAGCAGGGGGAAATGTACTAAGTCAGAAAGGACAACCCAATGGGACATGGAAGTTTTTGGAATCTGAAGTTACAGGGCATAGATTTCCTCTTCTCAGTTTGATACAGAAGGCATGTGTGTCTTCTCCCCAACTCTACCCCATTTACTGTACATTGGCTGAAAGGATTTAAATCCTTGTATCCACAGCCCTAAGGATCCCTGCTTTCCTAGAGAACTCCCTTTCTAAAATCTTGGTGAAAAGGAAGCTTTTCAAAAGGCCAGAATAGGCTGGGCGCGGTGGCTCAAGCCTGTAATCCCAGCACTTTGGGAGGCCGAGACGGGTGGATCACAAGGTCAGGAGATCGAGACCATCCTGGCTAACACGGTGAAACCCCGTCTCTACTAAAAATACGTAAAAAACTAGCTGGGCGAGGTGGCGGGCCCTGTAGTCCCAGCTACTCGGGAGGCTGAGGCAGGAGAATGGCGTAAACCCGGGAGGCGGAGCTTGCAGTGAGCTGAGATCCGGCCACTGCACTCCAGCCTGGGCAACAGAGCAAGACTCCGTCTCCAAAAAAAAAAAAAAAAAAAAAAAAAAAAGGCCAGAATACTAAAATAGGACTTGAGCAACTCAGATTCGATTAATTCCTAATCATTTGTGGTCTCTCCTAGTCTGACCAAGTCTCTGACAACCGAAAATGAGAATTGTCTGCTCCTTACTTAAAAGTTACATAACAAAAGGCTGGGTATGTTTAAAAAAAAAAAAAAAAAAGAATAAAAAGTGGAATTCAGAGCTTAAGAGATATCATAAAGGCCAAACTTACAGAAAAGGCTTATCCTGAAGGAAGCAATAATACACACATAATTACTGAAGCCGGCTGTAGGCAAGTCTGTGGGAGAAGTACCTTTCACTACAGATTACAGTGTAAGAAGGTCCCAAGGGGGACAATTTTCTTTTATGTGCTGTGTAGATTTAAACAATTACTCCATTAGAAAGCTTATCACCAAAAAAAAAAAAAAAAGTCCCTAATTATTTTACTTTCTTCCTGCATTGCCTCCAGATACAACTCTATTAAGTGTAAGTGAATATAAATAGCACTGTTTATGAAGCTACTATGGCAAAAGAAACCACAAAAGTGAGGAACATCAAGAATTTGCTAACATTTATTGAAGAGGCCAGGCAATTATCGCCAAGTATTCAAAGCTTAAATGATAGTACTAATTTGATTGAGAGTAGTTTTCAGCATCTTTAAAAACAAAAACAAAAACAATTCCCATAGAACTAACCACTCTAGAACCCATGAGATTAATTGGTGTAGAAATGAAAAAGGGAGCCTAAAGCCTTTACAATGTTTCCTGAACAGTTTAATTATAACTCAACCTCACCTAGCTTTACTTTCCCTTTATAAATTAACATTTCCATCTCACTTGTCAATTCCTCTGTTTATACCAACTAGAAAATAGAGAACTATTGTTCATAAACACCTAAACCTATTGAAAAACTTTTTACACTTAGATTACAGAGAAGAAAATTATTTAGAAATTTGTTTTCAAGGAAATTATATATCACTATATTTCTCTGATATAGAATTATGCGAAAATATTTCCTCTTAGAATTCAAACATATTGCCAAAGCTGTTTACAAGTCTTTCACTATTTGGCAATGAAGAATGAAAAAAGTTGGATAGATGTCACACAGTAATATGAATAACTGATTTGGCAGCTCCCCTCCCAACAATAAACACATTGAAATTACCATAACTTCTGAAAAGAAAACATTTTTGATAAAATACCAAAAGTGGTGAGTATTTCATAATATTTCACCTAAATATGAGTAAGAATGAAAGTATTCACTTAACAGGCTATTGAATTTCCTTTGGACAGTTTAAAGATCGGGACAGGTAAGACTGGGGCATTCTTCATTCTAAGCAGTAGCTTTCACTTCTTTATCCATTACCCATGGTACTACAGTGATAAAATATATATATATAATTTATTTTACATCAAAATATACATAAACATATATACCTACCAATATATATGCATATGTAACTAAGTTTTACCAAATAATACTTACTCAAATATGTTTTCTGTTCTTTACAAATTCTTTCCTTTTCATTTTTTTCAACACCAGTCATTGTCATTTAACTGATTTCATGTGAAGAGCAAAAACCCAGTCTGAAAAACACAGGTCTGAGGCAATCTTATCCTGGAATGCCGGGACCAGGGCAGATCCAAACCCTGTGCTTGGGAGTCCTGCCTGTGTCTCAGGAGTCATCTAGAGGAAGGGGAAAGGAAAATACAGACAGACCCAGACCCTGCCCTGGGTAAACCAAAGCTGCTCGGCAATTATCTTGGCATTTCACATAAGATTTAACCTACAGGCAGGGGGCAAAAAAAGTTCTCAGTTAAAAAAAATCAAGTTTCAAATCACTGAGTTAGATTACCTTTCCAGGTCCCCTTCCAATGTGTGAGCCTAGAGATAAGCATTCATTCCAAACTATAAAATAAACCACAAATCACTATAGAATCAAAACCATATCATTAGATCACAAAAACTTTAATAGTCAAAGCTTTATAAGTTATAATGTTAGAATTTCTCAGCATACTGTCTCAATTAAAAGTGCTCATGGCCAGGTGCAGTGGCTCATGCCTGTAATCCCAGCACTTTGGGAGGCCGAGGCAGGCAGATCACCTGAGGTCAGGAGTTTGAGACCAGCCTGGCCAACATGATGAAACCCCATGTCTACTAAAACTACAAAAAATAGCCAGGCATGGTGGCAGGTGCCTGTAATCTCAGCTACTTGGGAGGCTGAAGCAGGAGAATCGCTTGAACCTGGGAGGCGGAGCTTGCAGCGAGCTGAGATCCAGCCACTGCACTCCAGCCCGGGCGACAGAGCAAGACTCGGTCTCAAAAAAAAAAAAAAATTTTTAAAAAGTCCTGAAGGCACCTGAGCCTCCCCTCAAATTCCCTCCCCATCCTGCAGAAGCAACCCTCCAAGACTTCTCCCTTACTAAAATTACACTCTTCTTATAGTCTTATTAATAAAACAATGTTAATATTTGCTAAATGTAACACATTACCAAGTAAACACACTAAGGCACGCCAATTACTAGGTTCCTTGGACAGTGGTCTATTTGAACAAATTGATGTTCTTGAACCAAAAACTCAGCAGCTTTTTTCATTCATAAAAACATGTATCTTCCCGCTGGAATTACCTCCAGCCAAAATATACCGAGTTGGGTGCATGGCATTGATGGAACACACAGAGACAAGGCATTCTCCACCAAACGAATGCACCCTCTTTCCTGTCTCATGGAAGATTTCTACCCGTCGTGGATGGGCCATGCTGCCAACTATGACACAGTCTTCTTGTTTAGGATCCCACATGGCTTGGAACCTGGTCAGCCATCGCCCAGTGAAAGTGTTGTGCCTAGTGAGGAAAACAATATATTTTTTAAATGAAGTAAGGTTAAATA